GGATTTAGCCATTCTTCTCCTCTTCAAAACTTCAACAATTACACCAAGAATGCTCAAAAACTCAATGAGATGATTAGGGTTTGCTTAGATAACGTTTTGGGGATGAAAGAGGCGAGTTTGGGGCTGATAAGGTGGTTTAAATAGGGTGCAAACCCGGGGATTTAGGGTTTCTACCTGGCAGGCCGACTCGCCGAGTCCCGAATATGGACTCGACGAGTTGCCGATCTATAAGCTGATCAAAAACGCAACCCTACTCGACGAGTTCCTCTACAAACTTCAAAAAAATAAATTCTATAAAAGCAACATACCAGAGACGGGTCGTTACATTTTTTTTTTGCATTTTGCGTAAGTATGTATCTTTGAAGCCTTTGCTCTTACGTATGCAAAAGAAAACATAATTTGTGTCAATATTATGTAATGTTATCTATCCTTCCATACTATTGGACGTTGTTTATATTATCTTGGCCCTTTCACTTTCCACATTACAGTGTTGAGAATTATAAAAAATATGCTACCTCATAGACTAGCATAGGAACCATTATTAGACTCACCAAGAGTCACCACCACATGTGACATCCTCAAAATCTCGGCCAAAAAAGACCGATTTTCATTTATGCTTTTAATATAATTTCAGAGTAAATCCTTTTGATTTGAAAGAGTTGCGGAATTTGTTCCCAAAAACAAAACATGATAAAACAATGTTTACCAAAGCATTTCATAAAAGAAATGTATTTTCATTATATAATCAAAACTCGGGGTGTCATGTTCCGATACAGACCAATAAGCATAAACGATAACATTACAAGTCATTCAACAAATATATACGTATACAGACTTGTAAACAAAACAACTTGATGGTTCATCCATCTTACGCCCTTGCGCCACTTCCTGTAATACAAATAAAACTGAGTGGGTCAGGTTTGGGAGCCTGGTGAGCATATAGGGTTTTCAACCCACAATAAATAATTAAATTAATTATTATCAACCAACAATAACCCAGTTACCCATTTCCGTTATTCTCACTTTATGTCCCTAAAATAACTAACACAAGGGACCTAATCTAAGAATATTTTCATCGGGGTGACAACACATGCTTCGGGGGTTCCTCAGCAATATAAGTTAAATAAGGCAGCCATGAGGGGGATGGAATACAGCGAATGAGCACCCAAGTTCATTAACACCTATAGGTTATGAGCCTGCTAGAGTTCCACTGGACTGTCTAGAAAAGTCCGTGGTCGTCATCTAAATTCCGCTAGATGACTGGATCAAAACAACAACGAGGCCTCTCATCTGTTTATTACACACCAACTATCTACCCATGTTCTACCCAACATATTAGTAGATAAAAACATACTTTTTTTTATACATATTTTCAAAACCTGTATAGCATGCTTGATCAATACATTTTCCATATAACAGATGAGGCACACACACATAACATGTATTTCATATAGAAATAATCAGATCTGTAAGATACAAGCATTCACACACATAACAACAAAATATACACTTAACACGTATCTCGTAAAAAATACTTCATAATTATACGTTAGGAGAAAGTAACAACACATTCACACATATAAACAACAATATACTTAATACACTCAAACCATACTTGTATTATTATTGCGTTTATAAAAGGTAGTATACACTCACTTGATCAGAAGATGATCGGACAACACTACGACTTGCAAAAGTAGTAATCCTCAACAGATCTGGAAGATCTCTACAAAAATCGAACTTCTCGCGGGCAGAGCTTCGGCTCAGAAACCGCACTTCTCGGGATCTTCGGGATCTCGAGACTTGCTTCGGGACTCGGGAATATTACCGGGGCTTCGGGGTATTTCTGGCACGAAAATCGAGGCAAAAGGGGAGAGATAATGGAGAAAAATAGCAAAGAAACTCGGCAGCCTTGCATCCTATTTATAGGAGGCTGGAACCTCCTCGTACGCGGGGCGTATTGCTCCGAAATCGTAAGCGCATGCGTCATCCGAAGTCCTCGAGTGCGAATGTCGACATCTTCGCTGTACGCGGGGCGTACTCCGGATGAGTCCGATGACTCGTCTTCGGATAAGGCCATATTTTATAATTAAATTTAATTATTAATTATTTAATAAACTTCGAAAATTCAAATCTCCTTCATACGAACTCCGTTTTCGACGTTCTTTATATCCACGCGAAGGTGAGACTACGCTCTACAACTTTCGTTTAGACTCCGTCGGCTAATTTTGACTTTATTTTTATTATTTATTTTTAATAGGCCGGGACAGAAAATTTCGTTATAAATTCATAACTTCTTCGTTTGACGTCCGTTATCGCATAACTTTTTATCGCTTTGATACTAACAACGAGATCTTTGATTCTCGTTTAGATCACTAAGGCTAAATATCGCTCTAACGTAAATTTCACTTTTTACGTTATTCAGCGGTGCCGGTTCTGTCGCGAAACTTCGAGAGGTCATAACTTCTTCGTTATAACTCGGATTTCGACATTCTTTATATCTTCGGAAACCTTGTTTCAACTAGTACAACATTATCTAAAGATATCAAGTTTATTTTACACTTAAATTTTGACGCTTATTTTTATTCTTAATTAATCAAACCACATAATTAAGCAATTAAGCACAAAACACATAATACTCAAATAATACACTTCTATTATTTCAAAACGGGTTACAAAGGTTAACCTAGACTATCACATTGCTAAAAATGACAAGCCCAGAAACACAGGTGTTACACCACAACAAATAAACAATAAGTACTAAGATCTTTAAACATCTGTTATCTCTTCATCGCCACGTATATACACTAGATATATACACCTCAATATCCATATTCCATATAACAATTTTTCATTGATATATAAGGAACATAACCTCCAAGTCCCGTTAACAAAAAAAAAAAAAAAACCAAAAAAATGTATTCCCACATTATTAATAAGGTTCTGCTCTCCCTTATCGCATACCTCCGAGAGGTCCAAGATCTCATCGAGGCAACCCAGACAAAACTCCAAGAAGGATTCACCATGGATGACCACTCCTACCACCAGGCCAGTCCGTTGATTTTGAAGGCCTCGTACGAAACATAAAAATGGGCCCATATATATATATATATATTTACTATCTTATAAAACAAATCTCACTATTTCTAAAAATAGATTGAATAAAATAATAATATTTTTTTAAGATGTCCAAATCATTAAGCTAATTGTACAATTACTCACTAATAAAATAATATTAAAATTTAAACAAAGTACTATAAATCTTCTCTTCTAAAGTTTTGATCAGATCTTTTTTCATCCAAATAAATACTCAACATCCTATAATTTGGTCATTTCATGAATTTTTTTATTTTTAATATGACATGCTTCCTAAAACAAAGTAATGATTGAATTGAAAACAATCATTCTCCATGGAAAAGAAATTAATTGTCGAAACAAACTATTTGTCGCCCGCCGCTTTGCGCGGGTAAACGGCTATATATATATATATATATATATATATATATATATATATATATATATATATATATATATATATATAACAAAATAAATTTAAGAATGTTGAATTGTCATAAGAAAAATTAAAATATAAATTAAATTATTTAAAAAGGTGAAATGCAAAATTACAAAATTTTAGAGGATATATATATATATATATATATATATATATATATATATATATATATATATATATATATATATATATATATATATATATATATATATATATATATATATATATATATATATATAGATGTAGGTTCATTTGAGACCATTCTAATTTTGTTAGACCGTGAGACCAAATCTAAAAATAATTTTAAAACGCAAAATAAATGGAAAAATCCAAAAATTCTTTTTTTAAATATTATTTTCGGAACTTGAATTAACTAAAAAAAATATTAAAAAAATAAAAAAAAAATAAAAAAAATTCCGTTTTTTTTGAAAAAATACGTGAAATATTCTAAATAGAATATTACACTGACATATTCTAAAAAATAATTTTAAAATGCAAAATAAATGGAAAAATCTAAAAATTCTTTTTTTAAATATTATTTTCGGAACTTGAATTAACTAAAAAAAATAAAAAAAAAATTCTATTTTTTTTGAAAAATACGTGAAATATTCTAAATAGAATATTACACTGTACATATTCTAAAAATAATTTTAAAATGCAAAATAAATGGAAAAATTAAAAAATTCTTTTTTTAAATATTATTTTCGGAATATGAATTAACTAAAAAAAATAAAAAAAATAAAAAAAATTAAAAAAAAAATCAAAAAATGCGTCTCACGGTCTCACAAAATATAGGTGGTCTTAAATGAACCTAACCCTATATATATATATATATATATATATATATATATATATATATATATATATATATATATATATTGAAAACTAGTCCCGTAAGAAAAAACTACTTATTAAAGATGAGGGGGCAAAACTAAAACTTATAAAAACAAAAAAATGTAACTTTTAAAATGAAGTAAGAGAAGAGTCGAACCATCCTTCGTACTATCGTCAATTATGTTTACATTTTGTATACAATAATATACATTAAGATATTAAATATATATAATTTGGTTAACATTGGGTTCTACTTTTCTCGGGGTCCTGTATGACTGTACATTTTGCACACCCTAAGGATCGACCTTGCCTACCACATTATCTCCACAACAATAGATGAACAATTTCATGGAAGAGGCAAAATCAGAAGACAATTCAATGGAAGACAACGTTCATGATCGGATCAATCCATACAAGAATCGCAACTTACAAACGTCTGGTGAACCAAACTTCCATCGACTAGATGATCTTTACGTTTCGAATAATACATCAATGCATCCACCAATAAATAACTAACCAAACCATGTATCGTTAACTACTGGTATTGATGGTTTGATCCAAATCTAACCGAGGTGCTCTTTTCTAGCTGCATAATATATGATTAAATATTTTAACGTTTTGAAATATCTTGAAAAATAAAATAGTTGATGACGTAAGAATATTAAAACCGGATTTCCTACTACCACCATTCAAACCCTCGCCCCATTCCTCCTCTCTCGCTATCCGCTCTCTGCCAGTGTCTACCGAAGTTTTTCGATTTCGAAACCCTAACAACGAATCTCTCTCGAGCTTCCGTTCGATTCAATCCGCTATCGCTCTCTCTCTCTCTCTCTCTCTCTCTCTCTCAACTCTCTTTCACCTCCTCATCCCTCAATCTCCAAACGATCCTCTCTCATTGACCGTCCGATGGCTGAAGGCAAGCTTGATCTTCCCGACGATCTTCTCTCCTCCAAGCCCTCTGATCATTCTTGGACCTCTAAAGGTAATTTCTAATCGCCCGGCCTTTTTTTTTGCCATCTTCTGTATTTACTGGATTTATATGTTTTGGGTTCACGTTAAGTTAGGGTTTATTGATTTGTAATTAATGGAGTACGTGATGCTACTCCAATTCGACTGCATCTGTATTTCTGTTATCTACCAATCTTTTATCATAACGGCTGAAAAACGAATCTGGACTTGCAACCTGTCTGACTTTAAAATTGTTTTTAACTCGGTTGCTGGTCGTATCTGCTTTCATATTGTAGTTGAATTTCATTTCCAGCATTCATCCTCACTTATAGAATGAATTTCACTTTTTTAATCATGGGTGGTAGCTATCTGGGTAGATATTTGAGTTCGGACCTAATAGACGGCTTTATGTTTTTTCTTTTGAATTGGGTGAGCTCAGGCCTTTTAGCCCTCTCCACTTAAAGTTATTCTGCACGTCCAAATGTTGTAGATCTAACACTTATATTTGCTATCTGGAGGTGGTGTATAGTTGGAGTGCTACTTGTCTCATTAATTTCTATACTAAAAGATAGCAATAGATCTTGCTTGATTTATCCTATTCTTGTTATAGAAGTCATGGTTCAGTCTCTAGAGGTTATATGTGTATGTTAACTCCTGCTTTGCAAAATCGTCACATTATGTCCCCATTTGTTTTTTTAACATGCAATTAGTCATGACAGTGGACGCCTCTGGAGGGAATGGTGAAGACAAGATGATCGGTTATGATTCCAAAGGTAGATTTCATTCATTGTTTGTGGACTGTAATAGACTATTTCTGCATTTTTTCATTACTTTACCATTTCTGAATTTTTCTTGATAAAATTAAAGATCAAGCAGCTTTGGACAACAGCATTCCCTTGTCTCCTCAGTGGCTTTATTCTAAACCAGGCGATAGTAAGATGGTGGGTGTTTTTTGTCAAATCAAAAGTTATTCTGTTTTGGAATATTACATTCATACACAGTTGACAAAACTCATCTCCTTGGTTGTTATGATTGTAGGAAATGCGGGCACCAAGTTCTCTCTCCCTTGGGAGTTCTGCTGATTTGGGTTTGAAGGAGGCTTGGCGTGCGGAAGGATCCGATGACAAGAAAGATTGGAGGAAGTCTGGAAGTGAGACAGAAAGCGGGAGGCGCTGGCGTGAAGAAGAAAGAGAAACAGGATTACTTGGCAGCAGAAGAGAGCGCAGGAAAACCGATCGCCGTGCTGATGTGGCGCCCGACAACAGAGCTCCTTCCTCTGACAAGTGGCTTGATGTGGGTAACCGTAATTCTGGGAACGAGGCAAGGCGTGATAGCAAATGGTCATCCAGATGGGGCCCAGATGAAAAAGAAAAGGAGAAGAGGACAGCAGATGCAGAGAAGGAAGATGAGTCTCACTCTCAAGGAAATGCAGGCAGAGTGGTCTCTGAGCGTGATCCTATTCCCGAATCACGTGATAAATGGAGGCCACGACATAGAATAATGGAGGCAAGTTCTGGTGCCTTTCGGGCTGCACCTGGATTTGGGGTTGAGAAAGGAAGGGTCGAGGGATCAAACTCAAACTCAAACTCAAACCCAAACATGGGGTTTACTGTTGGACGTGGAAGATCTAGTGCTACTGTTGCTGTAAGGCCTTCATCTCCAGGTTCCATCGAGGGTGTGCCTGGAAAGCCTCCTGGGGTTGGGGATATGTTTTTCTACCCAAGGGGAAAGCTTCTTGATATATACCGCACACAGAGACTCGACCCTTCTTTTGGTAACATGCCTGAAAAGATTCAGGAAGTACCTTCTATCACTCAAGTAGCTGCACTGGAACCTCTTGCTTTTGTTGCTCCTGATGCAGAAGAGGAGGTAATGTCCTTTTTTTTTTTTTCATCAGTAAAGTTTTTATGTATTTCTATCTTGCTAACTTGATAAGCACATGCAATGCCCTTAGGCCATCCTTGGTGATATATCCAAGGGAAAACTCACTGGTAGTGAGTTGGTGGCCAATAGATCGAGAATTATCGGGTCATCTGAGAACATTACAGGTAAGGGAGCTTATGGATATGAAAAGTGTGTTTTCCATATAGGTTGGGGGTTTTCTGTATCTAATAAGCTTGATGTTATCCTTAATTAGTTGTCTTGGATTCAACATCCACCGACGGGAAAGATGGTACTCTACTCTCGGGAGACAATATAATTGATCAAAATCAAAATGCTTCACGCTTTGATAGTCAAAGATTTAAAACAAGCGAGGGTGAGTAAATGACAAGCTATTCATCAACTTTACTGGTTGTCACACTAATCTGTGAAGAACTTAACATTGTTTTACCACATTTCAGGGCAAGATGCTAATTGGGATCAAGAGCAAGGAATCCCTCAGATGGAATCATATATACTGCAAACAAGGTCAAACACCAGTACGAATGATCACTGTCATGATAAAGCTTCTAATTTTAACGGTCCAGATTTGGGTTCTATGGGGCATCATCCGTTGGATAACTTCCATCCATCTTCGTTTGATACCAATTCAAATCTTGTTAATGATTCAAACTCTGTATTTGTTGATCCATCTTCTGAGCAATATTGGGCAAGAAATATGCAGGATAATACAAGCGAACAGTTAACAAGTGGCATCATGCCTGAGGAGTTAAGTCTTTACTATCGTGATCCTCAAGGGGAGATCCAGGGACCATTTCTTGGGGTAGACATCATCTCATGGTTTGAGCAAGGATTTTTCGGGGCAGATCTACCAGTTCGAGTGGCAGATGCACCAGATGAAGCTCCTTTCATGGAATTAGGTCATGTTATGCCACACTTGATTCCCAGGCATGATTACACCACCAGCAATGATCCAAGTCCCAACTTGGACAAGTCGTCTGATGGTTTCCAAGGGAACCTTGATGCTAATGTCGTCTCTGTATCTGCTCCTGTTTCTGAAATGGGCTTTTTGTCTGCCTCAGATAATCCACATTGGCAATTGTCTGAGTTCAATGGTTTGTCAGGAAAGCATGCTCAAGTTAGAATACCTGAGCATGAAGGCTCTTTGCAGCATTTATACTCTGAGGGTCAAAGCTTCCACGATGAAGGTTATATACCCTTTCCATCTGCTTACCCAATCTAACCTTTGATTTTATAAGGCATTCTAATGTTAATGTTGTTTACTTGTTGCAGAAATTGTTTTCCCAGGAAGACCTGGCAGCAGCGAGTCTGCATCAAAATTTATGAACAACCACACTGTTCCATCTGATTTAATCGAACCTGGCATTCAGAGTAGTAGTGAGAATAAAATGCACCCCTTTGGATTGCTATGGTCTGAGCTAGAAGGGTCGAGTTTGAGAAATGATCAGCCATCTAAGACAAACTTGGCTGGTGGTATCCAGCAGCAATTTGTGAATTTACCAAGTCAGAGGGCCTCTTCTTTCAACACAATACCTGATGCTGATGAATGGTCAGATATTTATAGAAGAAATGCCATGGATCAACAGGCCAATGACTTTGATTTATCGGAGAAACTTAGGTCTCACCAAATTCAACAACAGCTGCTCCAACAGCATAATCTGCTCAACTCTCAACATCACTTGAATGAATCAATGCTGGACCATGTTCCTATAAACCAAAAACAGTTGTCCGGACAAACTGGGCAAGGTCTTGATCACCTAATGGCACTGCAGTTGCAGCAGCAGAGGCGGATTGAGCTTCATCGGCAGCATCAATTACAGTCGCATCAGTTGAATCAACAGCAAATGCTGCTCAAGGAGCAGCAATCACGACAGTTGCTTCTTGAACAGCTGGCCCAAAATCAGATGCGTGCAGCACAAGCACAAGCACAATCACGTGCGGATGCTGCAAGATCAAATAATGCACTTGATCAGATTCTTCTGAAGCATCAGATCTTGAATGAACTTCACCAGCGTTCACAACATGTGGATCCGTCATCAATAGAGCATCTGATTCAAGCAAAGTATGGTCGTCAAGGTCAAGGGCATCCAAACGAGCTGTTGGAGCTCATTGCACATGCGAAACACGGCCAGATGGAACATCACATGCTTCAGCAGGAGCAGTTTCAGGGAAGGCAGCAGCTGCCTTTGCCTTTGGGTTTGGGTTTAAGGCAGAGGATGGAGATGGAGGAAGAGAGGCGTCTTGGTTCTGTCTGGCCTGGGCCTGTTGATGAAACCACTCAGTTTCTAAGAAGTGCTGGTGGGATTCCCCGAGTCAACTCCAGTGGCCTCAGTCCTTTAGATGTTTATCAGCAACAACAGAGGCTATCTCCAGATGAGCTGAGTCATCTTTCAATGCAAGAGAGACTTCAGCAGCGCTCGTTGCGTATGCCAGGTGGTGGTCCTGCAATGAACCTTGATGTTAATTCCATGGGTCGAGTTAATCAGAATATGCAGGAGTTCAATTCTCAGTTGCACCACGGTGGTGTTGCTAATCAGCATCCCTTAGCCTCGAACCGCTTCCATCCCTCTCAAATGGGTGTGGGTGCAGAGGCACCCTGGTCTGAAAGCAATGGGCAAATGCCAAACGAGTGGATGGAGTCGAGGATTCAACAACAGCAGCCACATATTGATAATGGAAGGCAGAAGGAAGTGAGAAGGATTTCTGAAGATCCGAGTGTGTGGATGTCTGCTGGAAGCAATGATGACCCTTCAAAGAGGTTGCTTATGGAACTGCTTCAACAGAGTCAGAACCCCCCAGAGATTCAATCGTCTTCTACTGAAGAAGCATTAGCATTGGATGTGAGTAATACTACTACTAGTAATAATATGGTACGATTCGAGAATAGGGATTATTTTAGGACCAACTCCAATCGTTCCATGAATCAAGAAGTTGGGCTTAATCACCCTTCATTTGCTGGTGCATCTTATGGCTCTAACTCAGGCAACCCATCACAAGGACTGCTGGTGGATGAGACAATAATTGGTCTGCATACTGCTAGATCTAGTTCAGGAGCAATGGCAAGTCCATTCTTTTCTGACATTAATGAGTCCTCTGACAACATGGCGGCCATAGAACGAGGCTTTTTTGATATGGAAGGAAACAGAAGATTACTTAAAAGCGAAGGTAAGGGTGTAGCTTCAGAAACCGAAGAAGGAATAATATTTCAGCAGGGTGACCATGGGGAAATGCCAAATAATGTTGGAAGGCGCACCAGTGCTGCTGCTGTCTTTGGTAAATTTAAATCTGTTTTCCCATTGTATTATTATGTTGCCTTGGCTTTTACTTTACTATTCTTGTGTTTTTTATATGATAGCAGGTCAAGGTGGGAATAAAAACTTGTACAATGAGTCTTTTGCAGGAGAGGCTAAAGACAGGTAAGAAAAAGATTTACCTCTAAATGTTAGCTTGTGCATCTCATAGAAGTTTTCTGTTTATTATCGTTTTTATATGTATATACATGCAATATATGTATGTATTATCACCAATATCCTCTTTCCTTGACCTGAACATGAAGATGCTTGGTGTAGGATCGTGTTTTGATTTGATGTGGCAATGGCATAAAGTAATTGTAGATGCATGTTGGTTTTTTGCTTTTTATGATGCATAAGAGAGAAAAAAGAAAGTAAAAACATACAAGAAGATATGGGATGGCATGTGTTTTATATCATCAATCATATTTTTAGTCCATCCATGCATGCAAGCAAGTATCTGGGCTAATGATGTTTATTTATTATGTAGTGTAGTGTTGTTTTAGGGAAAGTGATATTCTTGAGATAGGATTAGGAAGCAGTTTGTAGTGTAGTGATAATTCGAACTGAAGACCTGACCTAAGTGGGAGGGAGAAAAAGTGGAAACATAATAATAATGGTGTGTGTGCAGCAGCAGGGGGATGGTGCCTGCATCAAAAAGGTCTACTCCTGATAATATCTTGGTGGGACGTGCATCATCATCATCATTATCATCCCATGAAGGGTTATGTGAGGTGTCATCTAGAGGAAGAGATGGCCTTAGCCTTGATGAAGGTAGGTGGTAGACACTGTTGTTATTCTTATTATTATGTGAATATGAGCGAGCAACAACAACAATAATAATAATAATCTGGTTTGTTTTTTGTTCATCTTCTTAATTGCAGGTGGAGGTGGAAGAGAAAACATGTTAATGGGTGGAAAGATTAAGAAAGAGGAGGGTCGATTCAGGAGAACATCATCATCATCATCATTATCATTATCACTGAGCGACGCTGGTGATGTGTCAGAGACGGCTTCTTTCAGTGATATGCTTAAAAGCAATCATAACAATACTAGTAATAATAATAAGAAGCCCCCCTTGGCAGCAGCAGATCCAGCAGCAGAGGCTACAGCAGAGGGACACAATAGCAAAACTGGTGGTGGTGGTGGGAAAAAGAAAGGCAAAAAGGGGAGGCAGATCGATCCAGCTCTGCTTGGGTTTAAGGTTACCAGCAACCGTATTATGATGGGAGAGATCCAACGCATTCAAGATTGAACGAGTTTGTTTTTTCTCTCTTTCTTGTGGTATTTATGTGTTTGTTTTTTTCTTCTCCAATTTACAACCCAACGACATGTCACATCCATTAACCCACCCAACAAAATAGATTAGGTTGCATATGTTAACTGCATGTATAGGTAGTAGGATGTAGCAGTCAACGTAACAAATTGGCCACCTTGTATAATTTTTGTATATTCTGTTATACAATTGAATTCAACCAAAATATGGAACAAACTACTCATATTTGGATTGCCTTCCTACCTCGCATTCCCACATTGTCAAACAATGACTAATCCTGGGTTGTCTTCTCCTTATACCCTTTTCTCCTCTCCCCCCTCATGACAAAAAATATTTTTTACACAATCTCCAACATCAAAATTTCGATTCTTATCACCTTTGAGATGGAAAACAATAATTACACGTCTTGGTCTTAACTGTTCAAGATCCACTTTAGAGCATATGAGGTGATTGACGACATCATCCTGCCCACGCCACACATCGAGGCTGCTGCAACTACCACTGCTTCCGCCAAAGAATCATGGTCCCACCTCAACACAATCGTTCTTTAATGTATCCAAAGACATTCAAACCATTCTTGCACTTTGGTTCCATGTCTTACTTAATAAGCATTTTCAAAACTTGGAAAATATCTTCCAAGACAACATGAACTCTTGGGCTATTTACCTTGAAAATCAGGTAGAGCTCTGTCATTGGTCTTGAAAGCCTCTCCAGTGTGTCGGTCCATTGCTAAGAATTGAAAACCTTTGTAGATCAACTATCCAATGTTGGTGCTCCGATCTCTCATCATCTCCTTGTCTTTCAATTGATTGTCGGCCTTCATGAACAATACGATAGCATTGCTACACATAATCAACAATATGATCTCCCACCAACCTTTTACGAAGAAGCATGACCCAAATTGGTTCTTGAAGAGACTCGAAAATCCAAACTAATTGTCACTAGCACCACTTCAGCTTTGCTCGGTATCAATGCTAGCTTATCTTACAACACTTCACCCCTCACCAACTCTTCTTGTATGATAATCCCTGACCGAAACAACCACACTTCCACAGGTTGGGATTGCAACAAACTAGCCCCACTAACCCAATTTTGGACCCTTTTGACCATGACATTAGGCCAACAACCATGGTCTGTACCTATATACGCATATCCAACATCATTGTGGACCCCACCCCTTGTAAGTCTACACCATTTTTACTTGCCTAACGCCTAAGTACACACCTATCAACCTTGCTCAGGCAATGCAAGCTATGTCGCTTAACCTATCTAGGACCTCGCCCCTAATAAGTCTACACCATCTTTACTTGCCTAACGCCTAATTACACACCTATCAACCTTGCTCAAGCAATGCAAGCTATGTTGCTTAACCCATCTAACGAAAATTGATACATAGGCACCTATGCATCTTCACATATGATATGATCGCAAGGTATTTTCCTCGTATTTAAGTATAATCGATTTATAAAGAAAAATATCATTGTTAGTGATGGTTATGAAATTTCTATTTTTAGATAAGGACACACTTCTTTTCCACCACAACATTCTCTTTTTCGTTAAATACAATGTTTCATGTTCTCACTATTTTGTCAAAATATAATCCCAGTTCGTCGTCTTTTTGTTGGGAATACATTTTTAGTGCAATTTGAGTTTTACTGAAGTTACGTTTCGTAATCAAGGGTAATGTTTTTGTTATACCAAAGTTCTGAAAGATCATCTTGTGCTACTTCATTATCGACACATGATAGCTAAAATGCTCCTAGAGGAATGTGTACGTTAGTTTGAGCAAGTTGTTATGTGCTTCATGTGATATATCCTGTGTGTCTTTTTATGACTGGTCGTATGTTATACCGTCTTAGATAATTCATTATATAATAAATTATATATATATATATATATATATATATATATATATATATATATATATATATATATATATAAATAATGTGGATAACATTTATTGTGTGGTAATAGATACAATTTTAGACAATTTTAGACTAATGTAATTTTTAATCATAACCGATTTTATTTTGTAATAATGGTATTTTATGAGAATTTCAACCATAAACTAATAGTCTTGAATTTTGAAAGCTTGAGTTTTTGTCCAGAACGAATATCAGATCATTTTTCAATCAACTCTAAGAATGAGTAGAATAACATAACATAACATTTGAATGATAAAAAAGTTAACATAAAAGATATTCTTATAGAATATGTTTATATTTTTATGAGAATGAACTTAAATTAAAATACAACTAGAAACTTGAATAAATCAAAAGAATAAAAAAATATTGAAAAACAATAGCCGACCTTGGTGCCTTCGACCCGTAAGTACAACGAGGAAGACTCACCTCTCAATCTGAACAATAGTTGATGAGGTCTCGACTCCGAATCTTAGCTCTGACCAATACTTATTGTAACGCCCGCGTTTCCAGGCTAGGCATTTTCGTTGATGTAGTAGTCTAGGTTAACCTTTGTAACCCGTTTTGAAATAATAAGAGCGTATTATTTGAGTATTATGTGTTTTGTGCTTAATTGCTTAATTATGTGATTTGATTAATTAAGAATAAAATAAGCATCAAAATTTAAGTGTAAAATAAACTAAATATCTTTACATAAAGTTGTAGTGCTCGAAACAAGGATTCCGGAGATATAAGGAATGCCAAAATCCGAGTTATAACGAAGAAGTTATGACCTGTCGAAGTTTTGTGACATAACCGACAACGCTGAATGACGTAAAAAGTGAAATTTACATTAGAGCAATATTTAGCCTTAGTGATCTAAACGAAAGTCGTAGAGTTTGTTAAACCGAGAGCGTGCATGAAAAGAACGCAAAAATCTGACTTCGTATGAGGAAGTTATGATTTTTCGAAGTTTCGACTTAGCGGTATGCAGCCCGAATACTCGATTTGAGACCGAGCGGTTTTTAGCCGAAACAATCTAAATGAGAATCGAAGGTCTCATTAATTGTAGTAAAACGATAAAAAGATAGGCGAAAACGGACATTGGATGAAGAAGTTATGATTTTACAACGGAGTTTTCCTGTCCCGTCCTACTAAAAATAAATAATAAAAATAAAGTCAAAATTAGCCGACGGAGTCTAAACAAAAGTTGTAGATCGTAATCTCACCTACGCGGGGATATAAAGATCGTCGAAAACGGAGTTCGTATGAGGAAGATATGAATTTTTGAAGTTTATTAAATATTTTCGATATTTTATTTATATATAAATTCCGATATTATCCGAAGGGGGGGGGGGGGGTCAGCGATCTTATCGTCGTTACACCCAGTGTAACTAGGATTTACGCCCAACGTAAATCGACCTTCCAGCCCCTATAAAAGGGTGTCGAGGGCAGCCGAGTAGTTTGCTCATTTCTTCTCTTTTTCTCGCGTTTTTGCATCGTTTTTCGTGCAAGAATTATCCCGAAGCCCCGATATCATTCCCGAGCCCCGAA